AATGTTTGTCCTTGGACATTTTTTTGGAGAAACTACAGGAATGCCATAAGATCTGTTATATATACATAAAAAGTTGTGAGACAAACTTAATTACAATCTGTGATTTCACTATAATTCATAATTTTTTGCAAACTGACTTACATATTGTCAAATAATACAGCTGCTGCTTGACCAACCTTTGATTCTGTCAATGATTTTTTCCCTTGAGATGATCTGCACATAAATTATTATCAAAGTTAGTTTATTTCACTATTTTTTATTATAAGCATATATATATATCTTTTTTTTTTTAAGAAATAAAAAGTTGTATATATCTGCTCTTTCACTAAAGAAATGTATAAAAATGTAGGAAAAGATACACACCTATTAGTGGTATTTAAAGGTATTAGGACCACACTCCATGGAAATGCATAAAAGGTACAAATTACATACAGAGCATATAACATAATTCTTCCAAAACTTTCTTATTAATATGGATCTTTATGTTGGCTTTTATTTGACTATGTATGTTTATTTTTAGTGTATTAGTGAAAATTTATTATTATTTAAACTTTTATGGAATTCTTATTAATAGTTTCCCACTTACTACAGTTCACTCTCTCTATAACGAATCTTCTATCCTATATGTGATTTTGTGTTTACTAAGATTATAAGGAGAAATTAATTATTATTATAAAAAAATGAAGTTTGTTATAGAGTGTGAACTGTATATACAAATATGCGTATTTTATTCCTTCAATAATGGAAAAGTATTATATTAACATAAAGCTTTATTATTATGTTGTAAGATCACAAATTTTAAATAAATAAATTCGAATACATATATTTGTACATCATGCAAAAAAGAAAAATACATAAAAAAAAACTTAACCGAATTTTAATGTGTAAAAATGTGATAATTGCTTATAAAACTTTAAATAAAAATTTGATCAACATATTTATATGTGGTACAAAGCCTTATGATTTAATTTTCCCCTATGTTTGTATATTAATATACTTGTGTATGGAGTTTATTTTTATTTAGGGCATTTCTATATATCACTTTAAGAAAACTAAATTTTTGATCCCTGAAATCCTTGGTAGTGTGAATGTTCACTTTGTCTGGTTTTGTTGTATGCCCCATATAACAATTTGTTTAAACAAAATAATATTAATACTATCTTGGAGTTGTTGTTACTTTAATGTATTTTGACCAAAATATGTAAAGGCTTTAATTTTTTTTCTAAATATCATTATCATCACCACTGGTTTAACTATAACATAATTCAGGGTTGACAATAGACTGGGTCAATTAGGGATTCATTGCCATTAACAAAATACTAAATATGGTTAAAATGTTATGACAATGATCCCAATGGACCATGCATGACCAACATAATTAAGATTTGGTAATTTGATTTTATTTATAAAACAGCTATATAAAGAATCCAATGTAACGAGTGACAAAGTATCGAGCACATATTCTCGAATGTCAGTGTATAATTCAATGCCCGCAATTTATCGGGTGTAACGGCATTAGTAATTTGTCTGCAGATAACCTTTAAATTTGTATAAATCTGCATTAAGTTACACATCGAAATTTATACACTGAATGTCACTACCACCCATCACATATAAAATTTATATATACAAATTACTGTTACAATATTAAATAAATAAGAAGAAAAAATGATTTGTTTTAAGCAAAAAAATAAAATGATAACAAGTATCCAATTTCACTTGTATATATTTTATTGTGGATAAGGACATTTTAGACCATTGACTGGAACAGATACTGCTGGTTTAAATACCCAATCAATTCCCCATACAAATAATTTGACATCAACGCGAAGATTTAGTGTAGTTTGTTGTATACCAGGTTGCTTAGTACAAGCAGAAAGAAAATCTTGAAGCACAGGATCACTTGCATCATTTGCTACATAATTTACATTTAATGGGAATCCAACTTCGCTAACTTGTTTTGGTGGAAGTGTATAATTTGTAATATTTCCAGTAGCAATTGGTTTATTAAATGATGATATAGTAGTAGAATCAAAGACCTGGAAGAATGAAAAAGTAATAATCAACAATAAAATTAAATGATTATAAATTATAACTAATAATTATAATTATAAAATAATAAATAACTTACTTGTACATCTATTCTGTTAAATCTGAATGGAATCCAATTTTCTTTATTATCAATTTGAGTTCGCATAACAAAATCCATATCAATCAATGGAGGATTTTGAGAGATTGATGGTGTACCAACTGGGATTGCATCCAATATTTTGACAATTGGTATACGAGGCCATACAAAATATAATGCCACAGCCAACAAAATCAAAATAACAAATGTAATAATTACACAATGTACTCCTGAACAACAACAACAACGCTTCCTTTGTTTTTTAAATGTATTATCAATCATCATTGGTTGATTAAGATTTTCTTTTTCAGAATCAATTTTACTGCCATTATGGAAATCATATGATGGGTTCATGTTATTATTATCTGGCAAAGTCATTGAGTTATGTCTTGTTGCTTCCTGATCATTGTAATATGATTGGTTTTGTGATGGATAATGATAATTATTATAATCATTATAAACATCCTGTTGCTGATTATTATTGCTGTTATTGCTGTTGTAACTGTCATAGTTATTTTGATTGTCCAAATTGTAAGTTCTATCAATTAAAGGCTGTTGTTGGTTGTTGTTGTTGTTGTTGTTGTTGAATACAAGTGAATTTGCTTGATGCGAAGATGGATAAATCATATGATTATTTCCAAGAAATCTTGAGTCACCATATACTCCATTGTTTGCTAATTCATTCGTGGCATGATTTTTTGAGTTATTTCTTGATAATGGGTCACTAGTACTTGGTTGAGAATATATTGATGCTGATCTTACTGAGACATTATCATCATTATTCACTGATCTTAATTGTGGTGTACCAATTGCTGTAGCTGTTGACACACTTGAATCAGATATTGAACCTAAATTATAAATAATTCGTGAATTAGGAAATAATAATAATAATATTATCATTGACTATAGTGATATTCTCAATATTCTTATTCCTTCCTATTTATTACTATATTATTAAATAATTTTTTAGTTTAATCTCTTGCATTTATCACTACTAATATCTATATACTACATATTTAATAAACAAAAAAAAAATTTACCTCTTTTCAGTGAACCGTGATAGGGCTGATTTTGATTGCTTTGCACATAATCACTCTCACTCAATTCTTGTATTCTTGGATTAGTGGCAGCATGCTCTCCCATCTCGTAAGGTTTAATACCATAGTTATTACTTGAGTTATTATTAATATAATTAAAATTATTGCTGTTATTATTATACTCGGGCCTGTATTGATTGCTATACTGATTGCCGTGTTGATTGTTGCTGTTGTTGCTTTTATAAGACATTTTTTTTTTGTTAAATATTTATTTATTTAATAAAAAAAAATTTTTTTTAAAGAAATAAATATAATATATATTTTTTTGAAGGAAAAAATTTTTAGGAATAAATAGTGAATCAAAAATCAGAATAGAAGTTTTTTTATGGAAAAGAAAGTATTATACAAAAGAATGAATAATAAAATGATAGGGTGATAGGCTCGGCGGTGTCAATGAAAAAGTTTTGGTTTGTGAAATTAATTATAGTTTTTGCGAGTTTAAATATAGTTTGTGTGATAAATTTTTATTAGTAATGTTTGTATGTTTGTGTAATACTGAAACAAGGAATAAAACATTATTTTTAACCACCTATGGTTTTTTCTATTTATATTTTATTTTGCAAATCAAATGTATAATAATAACAAATATATAATAATAAATAAAACTTTTATTATTTTTACTTATTATTTGTCGATTAATTTCTCCTCTTTGACTGGTTTAAAAATCAAGCATTTTAATTGGTTGGTTATTTGGGAAATATGATGTGTATTTTTGAGGTAATGGGGTCAATTAGTTTAGTTTTTTGGTACGTATGCTTAACATCACCATTATTGGCTAGTTGACTAATTTTTCAAAGGAGTAGGTAGAATGATGACGACAACACCTTTCAACGGTGTTATTTGTCATTTGTTGTGAAATGTAAAATGATCGTCGTAAATAATTGGTGGTGGTAGTGGTCGTCCGTGTCCCTTAACGAACAACTTGATATGAAATTTAAATGATGAAGGAGAAAACTAAATAATTAATCACAATGGTGGTTGATACGTGATAACTTTAATCATTGATGTTTTTAGAAATAATAAATAATAAAATGCAAGCAGGCAGAGAGAAAAAAAAATATGCAGATGTGATGTGTCCATGTGGTGTGTGTGTGGCTATATTATATTTTAATGAATCACTCCTTCCTTTCTCTATTCTACACCATATAAAGTTACACGGCTTCGCAACATCTCTCTCTCCCTCATCAATTATTTACTATTATATACAGTTTCATGTGACAAGGGTAATAAACTGTTTTTTGGGAACTATATAGATTGTTGTTCTTGTTGTTTAAACTTCTCTCTTCTCCAAATAATGATCGACTTGTATAACTTCGTCATCATCATCAACGTCATTGCCTTGTTTTAGAATAAATTTTAATTTTCTATAATGAGTAACCCAATGTATGTAAATTTCTGTTTATTGTTATATAAATTTATTTTTTTCATTTAAGTTCCAAAGAAGAATCAAGTGCCACACAAGAAATAGGCAAATCTGTTAATCGAGAGGATACAAATAGTTTAGTTACTTGTAATAAAAAAAAAAATCAATAATATTTTTTAACTTCTAAAAAAAATTTTTTTTTTTTTTAAATTTTTTGTTTTATATAAATAAATAAATAAATAAAAATTCAAAAAAAAATTTGTTGGGTGATAGATTCACCATATACTCTCACTCACTCACTCTAACACTTTTTTAACCCACAATCTTTTTTTTATTTCCACAATCATATATCTTTTATCTACTTTATTTTTTTTTGTTTTTTTGTTATTAAAAAAAAATTTTTTATAATTATATGTCTTACAACAACAACAACATTGGCAATCAAACTAACACAAGGCTTGGCAATTCAATTCCCAATCCAGATGATCTGTCTCGTAGACTAAGGTTACAAGCAGCAGTTGATAATAATGAATTCGAAGATGAACTTTCAAATTCACGATCTGTCCTAAATAGTGTTGCTGCTGGAAATTTCTCTTCCTTTTGGGGATCTATTTCCCCAACATCTGGCTCTAGATCCCCTGTACCTTTACAATGTTGTTGTGGCAGAGAAGATTGTCAGAACTTTGTTGCCTTTCTTAAAACTACTCAGTCAATGGAAGAAAGATTAGGATTAGCGTCTGGTAGGTTCTAAAAATAATTATCAATTAATGAGAAATTAAAAAAAAAATCTTATTTTATATTTATGATTTTAGAGGTTGGGCAGGCATTAGTACTTAAACAAAAAAATATCGAAGAATCTCATCAAGAATTGTCACAACAGGTTTTTTTATTACAACTTACATACAACTTATATTAACGTACATATTACATATCATATGGATTTATACTTGTATATCATATATTAATTTATTGTTTTTTCCTTCCTTCCTTTTTTTTTTTTTTTTTTTTTTTTTTTTTTTTTTTTTTTTTTTTTTTTCATTTTTTTTTTTTTTTTTTTTTTTTTTTTTTTTATTTATTTTCTTTGATTTTTTTTTTTTTAGAAAATTTAAAATTGTATTAATAATATAAGATCATCTAATGTGTAT